TTATCAGATTTATAATAATTTGTTCAGCTGTAGTTTGAAATTTTTGCTAAGAAAACGCTGTTGTTCTCCTTAAGCACTTGTTATGCGTCTCTGTCACCATTTTGTGGCGGAACGTCAACCATCACTTTTTTTGGTTTGCTCAGACAGGCTGATGATGGCTGATGCACTGAATCAGATTCTCCGAAATTATGAATATTTTAAAATATGCATTATCGTTTTAAATAAGCTGCAACGTTGCAATCTAAACAACTACATTTTTGACTAAAAGTACATTATGATGTCCAACAGCAGTAATATTTGTCAAATTATAGAGTGTTCTCTGCTTGTTGCTGTACGATAAATATACATATAAAAATATATACATATAAGTTTTTACATTACATACATTTTTACATTACATCTTACATTGTGAATTGTGTATTTTTGTCACATTTAGAACCAGTATTGGATGTAATTTGTTACAAAAGTAATACAAAAAAAAGACTAATTTATACTACTAAACAGTGATTAGCGTGACCCACGGAACATGCCGTAAATTTATACTTCTGCGTGCTGTTTGTGTTGCTCTGCAATAACATTTCTGATACGTTAGCTGGCAGTAGGTTTTTATTTTAATGGCAGGGTGTTTTTTTTTTTATTTTATGTATTTAATTTTTTCTGAATGCTACCTCAATATACAAGTAGCTATAACTCGCTCAGTCAGAGACAGGAACCGGCAGACTTGGAATGACTTTAATCATAAAGTAAACAAAAAATAAAAGATTTCAAATGGAGCTCCTTCACATGATTCAACACTTGCTGCATCATGCTAGTAGCTCTCAGCACCTCCCACACTCATCAGCACAATCAAGCTGATGAATCACAGAGCTTGCACTAGGCATGGTTGCAATGTGTAGTTATTTTTTTTGTGAGGTACACGTCAGCATCAGCGTCAGCCATGGCAAAGGCTATGATGGAATGGGCTTTGCGGCCTATACACATGCACTTGATGCAGAAGTAGAAGCCTTAAGGCTGATTTATATTTCTGCGTCAAGCACACGTGTATGCTACGGCGCGGCCTACGCGTGGACGCATAGCCATAACCGTGGCCGTCGGCGTCGCTGACGCGCACCTCACAAAAAAATGTAACTACACGTCACAACGACGCACAGCACAAGCTCTGTGATTGGTCAGCTTCGTAGCGCTGACGAGTGTGGGCGGGACCGAGAGCCGCGCGAGCCTGTTGAAGCAATTGTTTACAAGTGCTCTGGATGGAAAGTTTTGTTTTGTGTTTACCTCATGGCTAAAGTTGCATGCCTGCCGGTTCCTGCCTCAAAATGAGCAAGTTCGAACCACTTGTACATTAAGGAAGCGTTCAGAACAAACAAAACACCAGCGACACAGGAACATAACACCTCACTGCCAACTAGCGTTAGTGTTATTGCAGAGTAACCGAATGTTACTGTAATAAAACTACTTTTCCAACGAAACGGTGAAGTAAGGGATTACTTTTTTTTATATTTAGCTAATTTACTTAATTATAATTCACTTAAGTACTGCGAATAAGTTCAACAGTTCTACATAAATCAGACAAACGAAATTGAGTAGATGTAGAATATTGTGTAGAATAATTCAATTTATCAACTAAACAAAGTTTGCATTTATCAACATTAGCGCTTGAGTATGCATTAAGTTACAATGCACTGAGGGAGAAATTAGTTTAGTTCATGAGCTATAAATTCAGACAATCAGATATAGTATATGTGTAATATTTCCAGAAGTTGCTTGATATTTCAACAAAATATGTTACATTTGTTTGATAATTGCACATGCTTAGAAAACAATGAATCGAGTAAGAAACCAATGACTAAAAATAAGGTATGAAATATTATGTCATTTAGCATTTAGATACATCATTTAAAGGGTTCATGGTATTGACGTTAACCTGAAAGATAATATTTGTAATATTTATGGATTGAGATTTATGTTGGTGTTAAGTAACATTTAGTCAAGTAATTACATTACTTGTCAGACATAGTAATCAGAGAAGTAATTTAAATAGTATTACAATAATGTAATTAGTGATTAATTACATTTTTACGTACTGAACACTGTTTAGATGAATAACTGAGAACTATTTTTATAACTACATATATTCAATAATAATAAATATAATTTCCACCAGAAGCTAAACATTTTCCCTCAAAGTTATTGTACTACGTTACCAAGGAAACAATGCTGTTAATGAAGAGCAGGCTTGAGCTAAAACAGGGCGTAAATTATGTGCCAAGCACGATAAAACTCAAGGTAATAGTGTTGTGAAATAATTGTACGTGATTTCCAAACAGGTGCAGTTTTCGATAATTTATTCAGAAAGTGTGAATATTTAATTTGGAGTACTTAAGATACATGAGCTGCGTTTCAAGATCTTACATAAGTGGCTGATTTCCTGGAAGTTCCTCTGTCCTCACTGTGAAGCAATTGAAAGCAGTTTAAAACAGCTGTGTAATGCTGTACTTGCTTGGGAGTGTACTTGATACCACCCATGTTCTTGCTGGGGGTGTTTAATGCAAATGCATTCCAAACTGTGCTTGAATCTATAAAGAGTCTATGCGATGGATCAGCTGGGGTTTTAACTGTATTGGCTCGGCAATCCACAACTCCAATGTATTACTGTTTTCACTCATGTTCGATCTCACCAAACTAGAAATTCAAACGAATCTGAGGGCATTTTCATTCTGAAAAAAAGAAGCCTTAGGGAACACTTACATGTAATTTAATTATCACAAACCAATGGTACATTTTTTTAATTATCTATCTATCTATCTATCTATCTATCTATCTATCTATCTATCTATCTATCTGTCTATCTGTCTATCTATCTATCTATCTATCTATCTATCTATCTATCTATCTATATATATATATATATATATATATATATATATATATATATATTCTTTTTTATGTTAAAACATGCTATTATTCATCTATGTATTATTTATTTAATAATGTTTCATTTTTTATTTATTCATTAATTCAGTTATTCATTTGTTTATTTATTTATGTATTCATTAATTCCTTTATTCATATATTTATGTATTGTTATGTACTTAATCATTTATTCTTTTAGTTATTTAACCATTATTTAGTTTGTTCAATCATTCCTTCTTTTATTCATTTAATATGTCATTCATTCAATCATTTATCATTCAACTATTCAATTATTTATTCATTTATTCATTGTTCAATCATTCCTTAACCTATTCATTTAATAATTTATTCATTCATTAATTTGTTCATTCATCCATTTATTCATTTGTATATTTGTTCAATTACTCATTCGTTTATTCATATAATAATTTGTTCATCCATTAATCTTTTCATTCATTCATTCATTCATTCATTCATTCATTCATTCATTCATTCATTCATTCATTCATTCATTCATTCATTCATTTTTTCATTAACTTATTCATCTATTTATTTATTAATTCCTTCTTTTTTCTTTATTTAATTATTTATTTTTAACTTATGTATTCATTCATTGATTATTATATTATTTTATTTTATTTTATTAGTACAATCATTCCTTTAACTATTCATTTAATAAAAAAATCATTAATTAATTTGTTCGCTCATTCATTCAATCATTCAACAATTTATTGATTATTTTCATTCATTTGTTCATTTATCCATTCATTAATTTATTTGTCTATTTATATTTATTCATCCCTTAATTTATATACTTTCATGTGTTTATTCATTAATTTATGCATTAATTCATTTGTTCAATTATTCCTACATTTATTCATTTAATGATTTGTTAATTATCTATGCATTTATTCATTCATATATTTATTTAATTTGAATTTAAATATTCATTCATTCATTCATTCATATAATATTTTACTAATTTAATCATTATTTAATTTGTTTAATCGTTGCTTCATTTATTCATTTAGTAATTCATTCATTCACTCATTCATTATTCATCTATTTATTAATTCATTTGGTCAATGACTGCTTCATTTATTCATTTAAAAATTCATTCGTTCGATGATAAATTTATTCATCCCTTTATATATTTATTTTTATGTACTCATACATCTATGCATTAAATCATTTGTTTAATAATTCCTTCATTTATTAATTTAATAATTTGTTCATTCTCAAATTAATTTATTTATTTATTGAATAATTATTTTTTTATTCGTTCATTCCTTTATTCATATATCTATTATTTTTATGTATTCATTCATTCATTCATTCATTCATTCATTCATTCATTCATTCATTCATTCATTCATTCATTCATTCAATCATTCATTGAATTGCATTGATTCATTTACTGGTAGGAAATATCTTTGGCACAACACTCAACAACCTCACATATCTTTACAGTCTCGCGGAGCCCTAGTTGTCAGCGAGTTTAACTTCGAAGTCCACAGGGCCAAAAAACACCAAAAACCCCCAATTACAGAGTCTTTCATCAACACGAAGGAAAAAGAAAAAAAAAGAAGAAAAAAAAAGTGACAGACCAGGCCGCATGGGATTCTTTTGCCATCTTTCAGCAAAGTGGAAATATGGGTATGAGGACCACAACCGCCTGGCTTCATACCGCAACATGTGTCCCCGTCTCTGCTGCGTAAACAGCATGGGTGTTTTATGGCCTTAAATCAATTAGAGACAAGGCAGGCAAGACAAAGTGAATGTGGGGCGGGGGGGTTGCTTTGCATTCCCATGACAATTCAAGCACCGCCAGGCCCTTTGGATAAGGAGGTTACGTCCTGCCTGTGGTGCAGAGTGAGAATATTCATCATAGATTTTATTCCTGGACAGGCCGAGTGAGGAAAGGCAAGGAGAGGAAACGGGACGGGGCACCTACACGCAGGGGAATCTCGCCGCGACACATTCGTCTCTTTCCCAACGGTGCTCTGCTCCGCAACCACACACACACACATACGCACACAGAGTGAATGTATCAGGCCCGAACGCTGGCAGATAGGGAATCAATTTACCTGAATCCCATCCAGGAGCTTGCTCATGCACCAGAAGCTGTCAGCCTCGATGTTCCGCAACACCTCTTCCTGCAAGCTGGAAACATTGAAATTTTCCACCTCTTCCTCTGCAAAAAGCCAAAAGACAAAAGAAAATAAGAAACAGACAGAGAAAGGGAATAAAAGAGAAAGACAGAGACGGGGAAGAAATGGAGGGAGGGATGATAAACAGAGACAAGAGTATATACGGTAGATATATTCACCCTAGACATCCTCAAACTCAGGACTATACAAGCTTTAGATGCTTTCTTGCATCGAAACTGCTTTTAAACCAGTTAAAACACACACACACACACACACACACACACACACATAGAGAGAACTGTCATTCACTGAAAACTGCAAAAAAGGAATTTACAGTGACTGGCTCACAGTGACAAAAACATAATCTTAAAAACACATTGCTCTGCGCACAATCCAGAAATAAATCGCAGAGTACTACAGAAAATATACTTTATAGAAAAGAGAAAACAAGCACAAGCATGCGGATTGTGGTCTTGGAACATTTTGTGTGAAATGTGATCTTGTATCTTCCACATTTGTTCACTTGAAAATGCTCCAACAAATGTAAAATGCATTGTGACTGCATATGATTTGTCGATAAGGAATGCAATATCAATTTTTTTACATGGATTACGTGCCACAAAAGTGTATTTATGTGTTTCTTTGTTTTTTTTTTATTTGGCCACAGTATTTATTTATTTACTTACAGTATAACCTCAGTTTGCTGTACATTTATTTATGTTTGTCTATGAGGTTTATTTTTTACAACATATATATATATATACATATATATATATATATATATATATATATATATATATATATGTATATATATATATATGTGTGTGTGTGTGTGTGTGTGTGTGTGTGTGTGTGTGTGTGTGTGGTCATACTTTATTTTGATTATCCGTCCGTTTGTTGAATTTAAGTTATACTGCATCTACATGCCAACTAATTCTCATTCTCATTAGATTATAGGTAGACTGTTAGGCTGTGGTTAGTGTAAGTTGACATGTACTTGTTAAGTTTCTTATAGTCAGCTAAATGTCTGTTGAAGGAGCAGTATCAGCAGGTATTAAGCAGACAGCTTAATACTAAGACTCAGATGGACCATCAAAAAAAAAAAAAACATATATATATATATATATATATATATATATATATATATATATATATATATCCTATCCCATTTTTTACCATTTTATTACAGTGCATCCATAAAGTATTCATAGCACAATGTTTTATGTTACAGCCTTATTCCAAAATGGATTAAACTCATTTATTTCCTCAAAATTCTACACACACTTTACTGAAAAATCAAATGTACATACATATTCACAGACTTTGCCATGAAAGGACATTTTTGGTGAAAATCTTTGAGACTTTGTCTGTGAAGTGATCTAAAAATGGCTGTTGTTCAGGTTTTTATATTTTTTTTTTATAAATTTGCAACAATTTCAAAAAAAATTTTTTTTCACATTGTCATTATGGGGTATTGTGTGTAGAAATTTAGGGGAAATTAATTAATTTAATCCATTGTAGAATAATGTTTTAACATAAAGAAACATGGAAAAAGTGAAGTGCTATGAATATTTTTTTTTTTTTTGCATACACGGTATATTTATATTTTATTCATATTATATTAGGTTTAAGTTTTAGCTACTTTAAGATAAACTAAAATAAAATAATTAATTATTATTTATGTAAGAATCTAACAAAAAGTTTTTTTTATTATAATTATTCATTTAAATATTGTTCATCCATATTACTGTTTTTAATAAATATAATTTAATGAAATCTAGATGAATTTGGCCACCTACAATAGACATTAAATCTCTGCAATGTATAATTATTATTATTATGAATATAGTTATAATTTTATATTTAAATTTTTTATGTCAAATCTGATTTAGGCTAGTGGGCCAAAGGTAAATATAATTGCCATGAGTAATTCCCTATTTTATTTTATATTATTTAAAAATGAATAAAATAAAAACATTGCTTTTTAACTGAGATATTGTATATATATATATATATATATATATATATATATATATATATATATATATATATATATATATATATATATATATATATATATATATATATATATTTTTTACATTTAATAATAAACTTACTAATGTTAAAATAAATGTACATTTCACTTATAAAAGAATTACACTATTTTTCTTGATTTCCTCACTGATGTCTTCTGCATGGTCCTCTACCTGTCACTTGACAGTATTAACGTTTTTTTTAATTGAACATAACATTTAATTGAAACATTTAACTTCTGTTTGCTTTTTTGTAGCTTAGGAATAAAACAAACAAATTACGTCAAATTAGAAATGACCATCTCTATGTTCAAGTTGTTCGCCCCGGCCCTCTCCATCACTGTCAGTCTCCTTTAAGATGGGATGGTGGGCCAAATCAAAGGTTACAATGATCTCTGGTCTAAGATGCTTATTGAGTCTTTGTAGATACATATATAGAACTGTTTTGATTGATTGTAAATAATTATAAAGAGTTTAGAATTCATTATGAGCATCTTAACAATGTATTTGTTTGTTTGTTTGTTTGTTTGTTTGTTTGTTTGTTTGTTTGTTTGTTTGTTTGTTTGTTTGTTTGTTGGCTTGTTTGTTGAGTAAAACTTGCATGTTTTTAAAGGGTCTTATTAAACATAATACAAATCACAAACAGATTATTAGTTACCAAGTCAAAAACGACTTCACTAAAACGTCAGAATGCTTTTCCCGGAGCAAAGGCCAATGCAACTGTAGATTTATTTAGTAACCGCTGTGAAAGAGTCAAAACCGCAGCTCTGACAGCCAAGTCACAGGTTGAGCAGAGCAAGAATATCACGCACACACACACAGAGAGAGCGCTGTTCTGTCTCCTTGGCAACATGGGTCTAACCTTAAAGAGTACAGCGAGCTCTGTCTGACAGGACCAGTGGGCTGCTGGGAATATTTGCAGTGCTGCAGTTTAGCAAATGTCTGTCCGGTTTTCAGGCCGCCCACTGCATTAGTGCGGCCAGGAACGCTACCGTTTGTCGACGTTCAACCTAGACACTCATCAATGTCTGCTGTCAGCTAAAAAAATAAAATTCTGAGAAGCCGCCAAGATGGAATTTGACTCTGGAGGTAGACCAAAAAAAAAAAAAACATGGATATCGGTCTATGTTTGGGCCTAAATGACCTCCAAACGACGGACAAACTCATTTTGCTTTCACATAACAGCCTTCCACTCAGGAAGGAAAGCACTCGTGAGGCTTCCAAAGTGTGTGTGCGTGTGTGTGTGTGTGTGGAGGCTGTAATAAGGCAGTGTTAATCTCTCCAGTTGTGAGAGTCCCTTAACAGCACTTTCACTCATCACAAAACAAGGACACGTAAAGAGGAGCTGATCAGACGGTAGAGTGTGTAAAACGGGGCAACAGCACCTCCTGGGGTCAGTTTTGGACCTGCAGGTGCTTATGTGTGTGGATACAGTGTAAAAATGCTGGGTTCCGCACAATTCCTTCATGTTGCCCAACACAAATAGATGAAGTTAACTGTTTTAACAAATCTAAGTGGATTGAACATAAAACAAAGAATTGTGTTGATTCAGCTGATTTTTAATAAGTAGTTTGAACAAACAGCAGCAAAAGTCTAGAAAATAAATAAGTAAATAAAACTGATGTCTCCACTGAAAAAACTTGAAACTGACAAAGAGTAATGATTAATCAACAATAATAAAAATAAAAAAACTGATGAAAATTAGATAGTGTTTTCAATTTTTTTTGTTATTTTTTATTTTTTAAGAGCAAGACATGCTAATCCCAACTCAGCATTGTATTTATTTATTTATTTATCTATTTGCTTGCTTATTTATTTATTTATTATTATTTCATTTTAGATGGATTTAAATTTACCCAACACTGACCCCTGAACTTTGCTTGCTAGCTTGCTTTATAATTTGTATTTTTAATTATATATTTAAGGAGAGATGCTGTGTTTACACCAGCATGGAACACGCAAACATTTTGAGTTTACTCGCTTCATTAACGCGTCAAATCCCCTTCATTTGCGCATCAAATTCACTTCACAATTGACGCTGATTCGAGTCATGGGCAGGGCGTCTGTCTGCCTGATGACTCTAGCTGCCTTGCTATATATATATATATATATATATATATATATATATATATATATATATATATATATATATATATATATATATATATATATTATTATTTTATTTTATTTTTTTTTTGAAAGAATAGCTGTTTTTGTGTGCTTTAGGAAGACTGATAAACAGCGTTGATTCGTTTGGAGCCATGTTGGAGTCCACTACATCCCTGCAGAGGTGCACCTAACTCTGTGAGCTCATCAGCTCCTCCAAAAACTGTATTTGAATAATGGAAGCGTTCAGCGGTGCTTCCGAATGAGCCAAGCCCAGTTTGATGAACTGTTGTCCAGTGTCGGCAAGAGGATTTCCTCTCGGGACACCAACAAGAAGCGCCACGTCATAATCACGGTGCTACAAGAGAAAGCTCCTGGTTAACGTGGCCCGAATGTTCGCTGAGGTTCACACGCGATTTGCATGTTAAGCACATTAATAGTGCAAAACACTAAATTTGCCATGCTTCATTCATGCAAATTGCGTCATTCTTGGGTCTCATTTGTGCGTATCGCTCCACAAGATGTCTATTCACATCTTTGCATTGACTTAAAAGGTAAATCACTCATGCTTGACACTTGATCTCATCTGGTGTAAATGCAGCATAAGATATGCTTAAAATTGTAATATATTAGACTGTAAAAAAAAGTTGACTCAACTCAAAATTTTAACTTTTTTGATTTGATTCAACTTTCAACCCAAGCACTACACTTGACTTGAGTTGACTCGAAGTTGAGTAAACTCCGGAAGCTGGTTGCCTTAAAATTAAGTTGAGTCACTTTTTTTTTTTCTTTTTTTTGACAGTGTACTCTTTCCCTAACTCAGCATTTAATTTCTTGTGACATCACTATTGCGGTTGAACACATTGCAATTTTCATGCTGAAACAATATATTGTGCAGCCCTAAT